GCGGTTTGTTCTGCTTTGTGTAGCCGTCAGAAAAATTACCGGGACTTTTTTTTTTTTTTTAATGAAACTCAATGTCGTATCACCCAGCGCGAATTCTCAATGGAAGAAACATGAACCCAGAAGCATATTTCTGTACACAAAATTTTTGGGCTAAAAAATTGGGGACCCAAAATTTGTAAATGTTGCGCCTTCTGACAAAGAAAAATTGACGCAGAGTCAAATATGTCCTTACAAGGATTTTTTGGGAACAGATAAATAAAAATTTAACTCAAAATGATCATTATTATAAGATTTAAAAATTCCAAATTTTTCGTTAGCATTCTTGAAATGTTAAATCTGTGACTTAACCAATTTCGAAGATTTCCATATTCGACCTCCAATCACCTTTCTTTGATAGGGCATGCATGTACGGATACTTATTACTTTCTGACAAGCCATCTCCAACAATACGGTACTTTTCTTTCATATTCTTTAACAGATGTTCTCAACGATCATGCATAATTTTTTCGATTGAATTATACCTAATTTAACCGTTCCTAATGCAAGAGGTATCACCATACTTTACTTTGGTAACACGCCCAGCCATATTTATCCTGACCTTCCTAACAGTTCCGTTTGCCATTGAATCTTCTCTTTGCGAAAGGTTAATTTTATGTAAACCGAACAGAACGGTTACACCGCAGCATGGCGTGTGAATACTTGATAAGATCAACAGACATTTTATCTAAGCATGCACACAAAGGAAAGGAAACCCCTCTTTGTATCAAGGGTACTATTCACGACAATTTTATATAACAAGATAAATGATAAAAATGGAAATATTGCATGCAACTCAAGCGGAGACATTGAAAAATCAATTTGTACATGAAATCAATGGCCAATATGGGAATATTAAATACCTTCCACAATCATAGAGAGAAGTCAATTGAGATAAGGTCAGATTTCGGTATGCGCAGCTGGTGTCATTTTTTTTTTATAAATATGCGTACTTTTGCATCGTATTCGTTTTGATAGTTTTCTTCGGGACCAAATCTCAAGACAAATATGGCGGAAACCAATTCAGTAACTTCAACAACAACCGATCCGAGATCTCTGGAACTCAATAAAGAAGATCTCGTGATAAAATCCCTTTACAAACTCTCGGAAAACTTGATCACTTTCCTAAATAAACCGGAAGGATATGATGTTAAATTAGAAATTGGAAAGGCACCGGACGTTGAAGAATTCTATGCACACTCCGCCATTCTCCGTGCTAGGTCCACTTATTTTCATAATGCATTGTCCAAAGAAATGATCAATAAAACTACTGAAGGTGATGGAAGCGGCAGCACTGTATCGTATATTTACACGGCATTATCAAAAACATTTTTCATGAGCACAGAAGATAATGTTGTTATCTTCAAAAAAGAAAACATCACCCCTAAGGCCTTCAAATTCCTTTTAACGTAAGCTCTTGTTTTTTCGATTCCTTGTATTCTAAATTTAAGGCGTGAGATTAATTTACCGTTCATCAATTTAGTATTATCTACGGCGGATTCACAAAGATTGATGGATTGACGTCACTCGAGTACTTGGATCTTCTCGAAGCCTACGGGGAGCTGGGTATTCAGGGATTCGATGAATATCTACAACAAAGTTTCCTTGAGAATCATGGAGAGTGGATTCGCGATAACTTACTTCTTCTCGAACGATTTTCATCCAAACATGAAGCATTCCGTGATATCCGAAACTTCTGTTATGACCAACTTTGTCAGAATTCAGACATTGTATTCAAACCGAGTGATGTGACGACAATCAACAAGGACAAGATAGTAGCCTCCAAGAAACGCGATGAATCAAACGCGGAAGAAA